TGTGGTCCCACCCTGCGCTGATCGTAAACCTCTGGCAGCAACGCGTGCACGCAGAACAATCTAAGCAGCGGCAGCCGAGGTACCGCAAGAATGGCAAGCTGGAGGGGAAGCAGCTGGTTCGCTGTCAAAAACAACACAAGAGGGGCTGTGCCTAATCTCCCATGAAACGCCCCGCTGGCAGCAGGGAAGTGACACCTCCTTGAGCTGGCGTGTTCCCTGGGGTGGTGAGGGTGAGGGCGCGGTACCGGCCAGCAGCAGCACAGCTAGAAGCGTCTGCAGCCAAATCACGCATCGGCACGCTGGGAAACTAAGCCCCCATGCTGGGACAGAGGACAACAGCCAGGACCAAGCGCCTTTGGAGCCACGGGTGCCGGAGGTGAGCAGGCTTCCCATTAGAGCTGTCTCTTCCTAAGGCCTCTTTCTTTCACACAATGAGATGGGATGCTTCTGTCTTCCTTGGACAGCCAGCCAGACTTCTCTTTCTCAGGTGAAGTCACAAACCTAATGAGAAGCTTCTATCTCCAGGACCCCACGCTTTGAGTGAGGATGTTGGGATGGAAAAAAACTCCAGCCACCTGAATTGCCCCTACCCCATAGGTGACTGGAACCATATATGAAGAGGAGTTCCGTAATGGTACTGCTCAGTTAAGGACAGAAACCCATTTCTAGCTTTAAAAAACAAAAGCCTTCAAGAGCCATCTATTGAGTTGTCAATCGGCAAGAACAGGATGGTAGGGTATTGTACCAGCCACTGATCTTGCATGTAACCCTAAGAATTAACCACTCTGTTACACCTTAGAAGCCAAAGCAGCTACCCCTCTTCCAGAAGCCAGCTTAATATAAAAAAAAAAAAAAAAAAAAAAAAAAATACTGCTTATTTATGTTTCAAAAGACAGGGGGAAACAGTCATAAGTATGGTTCATTCGTCTCTTTTAAGAATTGCTGCTGAGCCAACTGAAACACTTGTGCGTAGACAGCTTTAAAAAAAAAAAAAAATCAAATGTGGCTAGTCATTACTTGTTCACATTGCTTATGAACTGACTACCAGCATCTGGCAGCCATAAAGCCCTAGTTTATTTTTTATATTTTTGAGGTACTGGGTTTTTTTTTTTCTCTGAAGCAGCTCTCTAGCAAATCACCTAAAGCCTATCCATTAGAACAATAGTTACACCACTATTTACATTTGCCTGAACTGTGCATTCAGACCAGCCTTGCTGTAACCAGTCCCTACGTCCTTTGGAATCGCTCCCGGTCTCCTTTCTTACAGGAAGAAGGTCTCCCTCCAGAGGTTGGCTCAGTGTCAGGGCTAAGGTGCACTGGTGAAGACGTGGGGCATGAGGAGGGGAGAACAAAACCAGCTTTGATGGGTAGGAGCGTGTTTCAGTGGAACCAGAGAAAGGGTTTGATACCAAGAGAGCTTCTTTTTTAAAAACCACTGAAAGGATGTGCAATCCATTGCATATAACCGCTTCCTCTGTCAGGGAAAGATCTTGGAAATGTTCTGCCCTTCTCCAGGAAAGCGGAGGAGAAAAACCCAGCGGTGTGCTCGGTTTCCTCAGGCAGATGCTCACTTGTTTCTTTGCTGTATTAATCTAGTCACTGCGTTCACATGGAAGCCTCCCATTTCTCCCCCCCACACACACCTTTTTGCAGGAAGTTTGTTCTTTTCAGATTGACAGGGACCTCTCAAACACTGGGGGAGCGGCCTGGAGGGGGAAGCAACTCTGATACAGTCACACAAGCCTGCTGCCCCTCAAGACACTTCAATGATTTCCATGCTGCCCGAAAAGCTCGACTGACTGCCTACTTTCCCCAGTTCTTCTCTGGATCTGTTGTCTGACATGATGCTCTCCCCAAACTCCATCTGGCAGCTTCTGCGCTTAAACTGCTTTTCAAAAGAGCTTTCCTCATGCCAGCTCCGCCGGGAGTCACCTCGATCGCCCTGCTTCGGCCTCCTGCGCACAGCACAGGCCTGGTCACAGCCCGTGGGCAGCTGGCTGCAGCTGTAGGCAGAGTAAGCAGCGCTGTTCCCATAGATGGCAGAGGCAGAGTAGAAGTGCGAGGACTCGGTTGCAAAATACCAGCTGTTGGTAAGGGACGTAGCCGATGTCTGAGGAGCCAAGATGTCCGAGTGCCAGCCTTTGAGGCCCAGCCCAGCAGCAGACTTTGCCAGATGCTGCTGGCTGGTGGAGAGACCAAACAAGAAGTTTGTTCGGTAGTTGTCTTCCATGCTCCCGCTCCGGTGGAGGGGGTACAGGAGCGACCGCTGAGTGGTGGCACTGCTGCTGGCTCTCCCCAGGTGTTGCCGCTTGCTCTGGCTGTCCAGCTGCCAGGTGCTCTGGGGTTTCTTGGGAGGGTTTGCCTCCTCTTTGTCAGGGCTGGTTTCTGGGGTCTGCTCCGAGACCTCCTGGACAGGGGAGAACTGACACAACTTGCTGCCGCCCTCTAAAGCGGTCGCGTGTTTGTAGTATTCCAGGGTGTCTTCGGAGGAGGCAAAGCCCTGAACCGATGCAGTCACACAGTTGCTACTCGCCGAGTAGGATACAGATTTGATATCCAAAGAAAAGGAGCGCTTCAGCCGGTTGCTATCCTCCACCTTATCTAGGGAGACGTGCAGTCCATTTATGCCCTGCACCAGTGGGCCATCTTCCAGAGGGGACAAGTGCCCACAGGGTGCGCTGCCGCAGTCCGTCGGCTTCTGCTCGACGATCTCGGAGGTAGCGGTAATGCAGAGCTGGTTAGCGGAAAGGCTGCTCTGCCCACCTTCGGGGATCAGCACGTGCTCGCTGCTTTTTTCCAAATGCAGAAGTTTCAGCTTACTAATATGTCCAGGCTGACCGCTCTGGTTCTTGAGCTTTTTCTCAAAGTCCAAAAGCTGGCCCAGGAAGTTGAAGTTGGGAGAAATGGTTGGCCTTTTTTCTTTCACAAATCTAGAAAGAGGGGACAAACAAAACAAGAATTAATTTAAGGACCTGCTGCTCAGACCTGAGATAGCCCTAGAGTGATTGTTGTGAATGCTAACAGCCTATTCTGAACTTGTCAGGATGCCTGGACTGAGGTTCAGTCAAGCACAGGAAATATGGATGGGGGGGAAAAGAAAAAAAAAAGGCAGCTTTTAAGCAAGATAATGCCGGATGCTCTCAAATTCTCTCTGTAGCTTACTTAAAGGTGGCTAAAAGGGGGGGGGGGGGGGGGG